ACAAGAAACCAAGGGCAGGAGAAAGATGCCACGTTGTTGGGAGGAAGGTAGAGAGAGACAAGAAATTGAGAAAAAAAGAAGAAAAAAATTTCCCAAGGGAGCCCACCAGAATCGGGTCCCTGGTTGAGCGGTGCTGCACAGCCCATCAAGAAAGAGTGGAGATGGCACAAGGCCCAAGGTGTTCAGGAGAATGGTAAGGAAGGAAGGTAGAGAGAGACAAGAAACTGAGAAAAGAAAAGAAGAGAAAAAAATGTCCTGAGGGAGCCCACTGGCATGGTGTCTCGGACCAGGGAAGTGGTTCCCTTGCTGAACAGTGCTGCACAGCTTGTTGAGAAGGAGCAGAGATGCCACACAGCACCAGGTATTCAGAAGAAAGGAAAAGAAGGAAGGTAGATAAAGACAAGAAACCTAGAAGTGAAGAAAAGCAAACACAAAAAAGATGTCCCCATGGAGCCCACTGGCGTGGTGGCATGGACCAGGGAAGTGACTCCCCAGCCAAGCAGTGCTGCAGAGCTGTCAAGAAGGAGCGGAGATACCCCATGGAGCCAGGTGATCTAGAGAAAGGAAAGGAATGAGGTGAGAGAGAGAGAAAAGACCAAAAGAAGCAAAAAAAAAAAAAAGAGGAAAAACAGCAACAAAAAATGGCACTGAAGGAACTGGCTAGTGTTGGCTGAGCTAATCCAAGCAACAATGAGCCATCACCTCCCTGGCTGAGCGACCTCAGCCCGCCAGAAAGCAGTGGAGGCCGAACAGGGGGAAGAAGTGTGGGGGGTGGGAAAGCATTTATCACTGCTTACTAGGTGCTCTGTCTCCTGCTGGGAGCTCTATGAAGCTACTTTTCTGTACTCCCTGTCTGCCGTTCTTGGTGGCTGAGGGGTCCAAGATGGTGAATGCATGCCCTGTTAGCTGACAGAGGACCTCGACTCTGTAGTTCTTGTCACTCTCTGTTCTCTGTCAGTTTCTTATTCCATTTGGTGCTTGGTTGAGTTCTTTACCCCTTCATTTGACACTTAGGGTTCCAGGATTGATGTCTGTCTCTGTTTTACTTAGATTTTTGCACCTTTGCTGTGGAGGGAAGGTGTAGTGCTTCTGTCTATAGTGCCATGTTGGCTCCACGTATCAAGGCTGTAATCTTCACTGGAGCAGATTTCCAGGTCTTTTCTCCTGTGGAGTGGCTGTGGGTATGAACTACTGACATTTCAGTTAACAGGCGAGTGCTTAACCATTGTGCCACCAGGGCTCCTTGGATACATACTACATATATCTAGCAATATGCATTCTTACTCATAATTAAATTTTAAAGGTTATCAACAGTTCTGAGGCTCTTTTTCACCCTTAGTCCAACCATTTCCTTAAAGGCAACAGCAGCTAACTTTCTCCAAACAGAAGGTGCCCAGGTTAGCTCAGGGAACACGTCTAGGCTCAGGACACTTCAAGTCATCAATGTCTGACCTCACCCCCCTACTCCTTTTGAAAATCAAGAGACCTGGTTACAGGGTGTGATGCAGGGAGGCTGGAGCAGAGGAGGAGGTAAAACAGAGAATTTGAGTTATAACTCAATCCTGACACACTCAGACACAACATCAGCCAAAGTCCAGGAAGAGGGTTGATTTTGAGCACAGCCAGGTTTATAGTTAACAACTGCAATGTGAGAGGCCTGGGAAACTACTAACGTCTGTGAAAAAATGACAAAAATTGTATAGAAACGACCAGGATTAGAAAATTAAAGTGGTTGTAAAAGAAAATAAATTATAAAAATAGAGAAAATAAGGAAATATGATTGAAAGAAAACAAGCCCAAATGGCGGAGCTTAAGGAAAGGCAGGGAAGACAGAGTCCTCAAAAAAATTCATCTTTTTTCTTTTTTTGTTGTGCTTTAGGTGAAAGTTTACAGAACAAATTAGTTTCCAATTTGATAGTTTGTACGTAAACTGTTTAGTGATCTTGGTTTGGTTCTCCACAATGTGTCAGCACTCTCCCCATTTCTGCCCTGGTTTCCCTATTTTCTTTTGTCCTGATTATCTCCCCCTTCCTGCCTTCTCATTGTTTAATTGATTGTTCTAAGTAGTACATTCCTCTCGGGTGTTATTTTTTATCTTATGTGCTTGTCTGTTGTTTGGCTGGGAGGTGATCTCCAGGGATGGCTTCATTTTCCAGGTCAGAGGGAAGTCTTAGAGCCATAGTCTCAGGAGTTCCTATGTCAGAGGAGCAAGCCTGGTTGTTTTTTGTGAATTTGATTTTTTTGTTCTACAATTTTGTCCTGCTCTGTCCAGGATTCTCTGCTGTGATCCCAGTCAGGTCAGAGCAGTTGATAGTGGTAGCTGGGCAACATCCAGTTCTGGTCTTGGGGTTGTGTAGGCTGTGGTTCATGTGGTCCATTAGTCCTTTAGACTAACTGTTCCCTTGAGTTTTTGGTTTCCTTCACTCCCCCTTGCTCCAGACTGGAAAAGCCCAACAGCTGTATCTTAGATGGCTGCTTGCAAGCTTTTATTGCTACTCAATAAAGTAGGTTGCAGAACCTTGTCCTTACGAGCTGTGTTATGCCAACTGATATAGATGTTCTCCGAGTCAATGGTCCTGTGTATTCTAGCCTAGATACTTCATCCTGTGAGGTGTTTATGTCTAAGAGGTTCTATATGAATGCACCTACAATCATGTATGTAGAAATAGCCACCTCCAAGCGGGTGGCTGTGTTCCCTTACCTTCTCCCACACCTCTTGGTGCATCTATCTACCTATTTTTCCATAGTAAATTACTGCTTGTTAATACTGTTGCTGTAGGATTGTCTATGTTATAGTAGTTACTGTAGTTGCCCTTTATTCTCTGTTCCTCTCTCGGTTCTCTCTTGCATTGGACGTGTTGTACGTATTTCCCTCATATTATGTATTGCCTTTGCCTTCACTAATATTAATTTGTGTCTTCTATTTTACTGGTAATTTTCCTTTTCTCCCCATCCTGTCCCTGGTAACCATCAAAAAATGCTTTTCTTCTTCTCTTTTTTTTTCCTGTGTGTAAACCTTTGTTGTTACTTTCTATCAGTGGTCTCATACAAAATTTGTCGTTTTGTAATTGACTTATTTCACTCAGCATAATGTTCTCCAAATTAATCCATGCTGTGAGATGTTTCACTGCTTCATCATTATTCTTTGTCATTGCATATTCTTCCATTGTATGTATGTACCACAGTTTGTGAATCCATCATCTGTTGATGGACACTTACATTGTTTCCATCTTTTTGCTATTGTGAATAATGCTGCAATGAACATGTGTGTGCATATGTCCATTTGTGTCATGGCAGTTATTAGTTTAGGGTATATATCTAGGAGTGGGCTTGCTGGATCATGTGATATTTCTATTTCTAGCTTTTTGAGGAAGCGTCATACCATTTTCCAAAGTGGTTGTACCATTTTACATTCCCATCAACAGTGTATAAGAGTTCCAACCTCCCCACAACCTCATCAACATTTGTTATTTTCTGGGTTTTTTTTTTTTTTTTTTTTTTTTGAGTTGTGCCAGTAATGTTGGGGTGAGATGATATCTCATTGTAGTTTTGATTTGCATCTCTGTAACAGCTAATGATCATGAACATTTTGTCTTAAGCTTGTTAGCTGCCTGAATGTCTGCTTTGATGAAGTATCTGTTCATATCCTTTGCCCATTTTTTAATTGGATTGTCTTTTTATTGTTGAGATGTTGAAGTTTTCTATAAATTTTAGAGATTAGTCCCTTGTCAGATATGTGGTAGCCAAAATTTTTTTCCCAGTCTGTAAGTTCTCTTTTTACTCTTTTCATGAAGTCTTTCGATGAGCATAAGTGTTTAATTTTTAGGAGGTCTCATTTATCTAGTTCATCTTGTGCTATGTGTGCATTTTTAGTTATGTTTAGCACTCTATGACATATATTAGGGCCTCTAGCATTGTCTCTATTTTTTCCTCCATGATCTTTATAGTTTTAGGTTTTATATTTAGATCTTTGATCCAGTTTGGGTTAGTTTTTGTGTGTGATATGAGGTATGGATCCTGTTTCATTTTTTTTACAGATGGACATCCAGTTTTGCCAGCACCATTTATTGAAGAGACTGTCTCTTCCTCATTTAATGATCTTTGGCCCTCTGTCAAAGATCACCTCAACATAGACGGATAGATTTGAGTCTGTGTTCTCAATTCTGTTCCACTGGTCTATGTGTATGTCATTGTACCACTACCAGGCTATTATGACTACCTTGCCTGTATAGTATGTTCTGAGATCAGGTAATGTGAGGCCTCCTACTTTGTTCTTTTTCAATATTGCTTTATTTATCTGGGGACTTTTCCTTTCCACATAAATTTGATGATCGATTTTTCCATCTTGGTAAAGAGGGTTGCTGAAATTTGAATTGAGATTGCATTATGCCTGTAGATTGCTTTGGGTACTATTCACATTTTCACAATGTTGATTTTTCCTGTTCATGAACTTGGTATGTTTTTCCATTTATGTAGGTCTGTTTTGGTTTCTTGCAGCAGTATTTTGTAGTTTTCTTTGCATAGGTCTTTTATGTCTGTAGTTAAATTTATTCCTAAGTATTTTATCCCATGGGGGGATATTGTAAATTGTATTGTATTCCTGATTTCCTTTTCCAAGCTCTCTCTGTTGTTCATCTTTTTTTCTTGAAGGCAATTTTAAAGACTGAATGAGATGCAGAACAGCTGAACTAGTTCTTAAAGGAAGTCTCTGGGTGGCACAAATGGTTAAGAGGCACCTTGGAATAAAGGCCTGGCAATCTGCTTCTGAAAAATCAGCCATTGAACACAGTTTACTCTGACATACATGTGGTCCCCTGGAGTCACAGTTCTATAGAGCATAGTTCTACTCTGACACACATGGGGTCCCCAGGAGTCAGAATCAATGGCAACTGATAGTTCTTACAGGAATGACAGTGGCAGAGGTTGTTAGTGAATGCTCTCCCAGTTTTTGATTGTTCACTTATTTGGAAAATATTTTTAATTGAGCTTCATTTTAACAGGATGCACATATTATTGTGACTTCAGAATATGGTATTTATGGCACTAACTTCGTCATCAGGGAAGATATCTACCTATACTTGGAGAATATCCCAGACCCTCAAGTGAACTGGATACCTCGTAATGACCCCAACAGGTAAAGGAAGAGATTGTGAAAAATTCAATCATGAACATCAACTTATTTTGCCTGGGAAAACTTTATTGATAATTATTGAATAGATTCACTATAATGGCAAGCTTCAAGATAGTTTTTATTATTTTTCATATACTATGAACATATTGGAAACCCTGCTGGCTTAGTGGTTAAGAGCTACGGCTGCTAACCAAAAAGTTGGCAGTTCAAATCCACCAGGCGCTCCTTGGAGACTCTGCGGGACAGTTCTACTCTGTCCTATAGGATCACTATGTGTTGGAATTGACTCGATGGCAATAGGTTTGGTTTTGGTTTTATGGATACATTTAAGAAGCTCTTAATTAAGGTGGTGCAACAGTTAAGTGCTTGGCTGCTACGCAAGAGAAAGACCTGGTGTACTGCTCCCTGGAAGATAATAGCCAAAAAAGCCTATAGGGCAGTTCTACTCTGTCACATGGGGTTGCTGTGAGCCAGAAATTGATTTGATGGAACATGACAACAATAATGGATACATTTATTAGGAAAGAGATTATGAATTATGAAATCTCATAAATGAGTGCTAAAAGATAACTTAAAAATCATCAAGTTCAAAGGGAATATTTTTCCATTGAGGGAATGAGACTGGAATGGGTATAATTCACTGGGGGTCCCAGGAGTGTTTTCTGTGGGAACCAGATCCAAACTCTAGTCTTCTCGCTCCTTGCCAGTGAAGAGAATTAATTCCCACTGTGAGTCTGTAACCTGAAAACTGTGTGAGTAAATGGCAAAAATAGAGCCACATTTCCGATTAGAATTAATTAGTTTCTTTTTTATTGTTAAGATAGCTTATGAGGTTAATGTATGTATTAAAATCCCTAAAGCTTAAACTGATTATTAACCTATAAGGTGATACAGCAGAACTATCTAAGTGGTTTAGGAGTTCCTGAGTGGTACAAAGGTGCGTGGCTACTAACCAAAAGACTAGCAGTTAGAATCCACCCAGAGGCACCTCAGAGGAAAAGTCTGGCAATCTACTGAAAAATCAGCCATTGAAAACCATAGGAAGCACAGGTCTACTCTGACACATATGGTGTCACCATGAGTCGGCATTGACTCCATGGCACTGGTGGTGGTGCAAGTGATTTAAATCAGGTCTTGACTAAAAAAATATGAAGAGTGTTGAAAGTAACACTGTTACTTTTAATGTAAGCAAAATAATCTCATAATCTAGAAGAATCATGTCTGTTAACTCACTTATTTCCTAATGCACCTTTGCTGAAATCATTTTAAGAATTCCTTTTTAGAAACTGCTCTCAACACTGTACAAACTAACTGCTGTAACTCTTTATAGCGATAACTTGGTTTTGACAAAATTCAATATTATTTAGTTTAATAATCCACTTTATTCCTGTTTCATTGTATCATAATTATTTACTTACTTAACCATCTCTCATGCTATATGTGATGGTTAAGATTGTGTGACAACTTGGCTGGGCCATGAGTCTCAGTGTTTATATGATGGATTTCATGATGGAGTCTGCTGTGAGTAGCCAATAAGTTGAAAGGGAGTTTCCTTGAGAGTGTGGCCTCCATCGAATATAAGCAGATGTTCTGACTTTTTTGCTTGCTCTGGATCCTGTGTCTCCCTCCTGTTTGTCTGACCTCCAGTTCTTGGGACTTGAGCTATCAGCTTATCTGCTGATCTTGGGATTCTTTGATCTTCACAGCCTGTGAGCAAGAGCCCTGCTCTCTGACCTGCTGATTTTGTGTTCGCCAGTCCCTGTGGCCACGTGAATAGAGATAAGCCTCTATTCTGATCCACGGATTTGGGACATTCCAGCCTCTATAATCTCATGAGCCATTTCCTTGATGTAAATCTCTCTGTATGTATACTTATACACTTTACTGGTTTTACTTCTCTAGAGAACCCAGCCTAAGACACTATAGTTTCAGTTTCTGAAGGACAAGAACTCTGTTATCATTACCGTTTTGAATCAAATTGACTTGTTTCTGAATGGCCATTCCCTAGAATCTAATTTTCAAAAGGCTCCTGAATATTTCCACAAGAATGTCCACTTTCTTCCATTTCATAGAACCTGGTTGCCTCCTTATGTTTCCCATCAGCTAATGACATCTCCATTTCTTGCTTTCATTCATTCAACATATATTTTTGAGAACACATTATGTATGGAGGAGACCCATGTTTGTGCCTGTTTCAGGGAAGGATGATCAAGCAGAATGCGGAAGTTGTCAGACAGTGTCAATGATGTCACACACAGGTAAAATTTTGCTGAGGGTAGTCTGAGGATGGTTGCAGTGGAGCATCAGTGGGAACAGCTGGATATTTGGGCTGGATTTGAGGGATGGCATGGAGCAGAGGTCATCATTGCTGGTGTCAGATGGCTCCTGACTGAAAGTAGAGAATACCAGAAAGATGTTTACCTGTGTTTTACTGACTATGCAAAGGCATTTGAATGTGTGGATCATAATAAACTATGGATAACATTACTAAGAATGGAAATTCCAGAACACTTAATTGTGCTCATGAGAAAACTGTACACAGACCAAGAGGCTGTCGTTCAAACAGAACAAGAGGATACTGCATGGTTTAAAGTCAGGAAAGTAGTGTGTCAGGGCTGTATCCTTTCACCATACTTATTCAATCTGTATGCTGAGCAAATAATCTGAAAAACTGGACTATATGAAGAAGAGTGGGGCATCAGGATTGGGAGGAAGACTCATTAACAACCTGCGTTATGCAGATGACACAACCTTGCTTGCTGAAAGTGAAGAGGACTTGAAGCACTTACTGATGAAGATCAAAGACTACAGCCTTCAGTATGAGTTACAACTCAACATAAAGAAAATAAAAATCCTCAGAAATGAACCAATAAGCAACATCATGATAAACTGAGAAACAATTTAAATTGTAAAGGATTTCATTTTACTTGGATCCACAATCAATGCCCATGGAAGCAGCAGTCACGAAATCAAATGACGCATTGCACTGGTAAAATCTGCTGCAAAAGATCTCTTTAAAGTACTAAAAAGCAAAGATGTCACTTTAAGGACTAAGGTGTGCCTGACGCAAGCCGTGGTGTTTTCAATCGTTTCATATGCATGTGAAAGCTGGACGATAAATAAGGAAGACTGAAGAACAATTGATGCCTTCGAACTATGGTGTTGGTGAACAACATTGAATATACCATGGACTGCCAGAAGAACAAACAAATCTGTCTAGGATGAAGTACAGCCAGAATGCTTATTAGAATCAAGAAAGGTGAGACTTTGTCTTACATACTTTGGATAAGTTATCAGGAGGGACCTGTACCTGTAGAAGGACATCATGGTTGGTAGAGTAGAGGGTCAGTTAAAAAGAGTAAGACCCTCAATGATAGGGATCTATACAGTGGCTGCAACAATGGGCTCAAAGGTAACAACGATTGAGAGGATGGCACAGGTCCGGGTAGTGTTTCGTTCTGTTGTATGTAGGGTCGCTATGACTCGGAAATGACTCGATGGCACCTGTCTTAGTCATCTAGTGCTGCCTTAAAACAGAAATACCACAAGTGGATGGCTTTAACAAAGAGAAGTTTATTCTCTCACAGTCCAGTAGGCTGCAAGTCCAAATTCAGGGCATCAGCTCCAAGGGAACACTTTCTCTGTTGGCTCTGGAGGAAAGTCCATGTCATCAATCTTCCCTTGATCTGGGAGCTTCTCTGTGTAGGCACCTCACATCCAAAGGACGCGCTCTGCTCCCGGCCCTGCATTCTTGGTGATTTGAACTTCCTATGTGTCTCTGCTCACTTCTCTCTTTTATATCTCAAAAGAGATTGGCTTAAGACACTATCTAATCTTGTAAACCTCATCAGTATAACTGTCACTAATCCATCTTATTAGATCGTAGTGATGGAGTTTACAACACATAAGGAAATCACATCAGATTACAAAATGGATCACATCAGATTACAAAATGGTACACAATCATACAATACTGGGAATCATGGCCCAGCCAAATTGATACACACATTTTTGGGGGACATAATTCAGTCCATGACAGCACCTAACAGCAACAACAGTACTATGTGTTCTTGGGCACTGCTGTGGAAAAAGAAAAGAAAAATCCCATTCTCATGGAGCTTATATTCTAGTTGAGGGAGAAAGTCAATTAAAAAAAAGACAATATCTATGCTTCTGTCTTCTATCTATCTTATGGAGAAAAATAAAACAGGGATGGAGTCAAGGGTGGGGCTGAAAATTTTAATAGATCATCAGAGTGGGCTTCACAGTGACATTTAAGCAAAGACTTGAAGGAGGTAAGGTATCTGAGAAAAGAGCATTCCAGGCTAAGAGAATTTTGAATGCCAAGACCCTATGGTCAAAGCGTGTCTAGCAAATTCAAGGAACACAAGAGGCTAAGTGATTGAAGTGTTTCAAGGGAGGGAAATTGAAGTATGAGATGGAGGCAGATAGGTAGGAGGGGCCTGATTGTACAGGGCTTCATGGGCCACAATAATGACTTTGTCCATTACTTGAGTGATAAGAGCACCCTTGGAAGGTTTTGACATGCTCTGACTTAAAAGTTCTATAAAGAACACTCTGGCAGCTATCTGGAGAATTAACTCCAGGGAGTAGGTCAACAAAAGAAGCAAGGGACAGTTAAAAAGCCATCATAATAATCTAGGTAGAGAGATGATACTGTCTTGGACCAAGATGGTACAAGTTTAGATGTTGCCCAGAATCTAAACAGAATTTGAAGGTAGACTTGACAGATTTTTCTGTAAGATTGGATATAGGCTGTTTGAGAAAGAGAAGAGTCAACTTCCTTTGCCCCTCACATACAATCAGACATCACTTCTTGTTGAGTAGGTTTGAAATGCTTTCTTTTCTCACGGCTGCTAATCTTGTTTGGGTCTGCATTACTCCTTAGCGGGGGTGTTAAAGGACCAGGCCCTCATCATTTCTTGTTTTTAATTTACTTAATTTATTTAGCACATCACATGCTTCCAGAAAGACTTCAGATT